TCAGAATTATACAATGCATAGAAAGATCAAAATTTTGGGAGAACAAGTAGAAATATTTCTCAGAATTATACAATGCATAGAAAGATCAAAATTTTGCTTTTCGTTTGTTGTCTTCAGAATTTGGTTTCAAGAATTTGAGTTAACAAGGCCAGATTTTTTAAAAGACCATAATGTTGTGTTATTGCCTCTGTTTCTTTCTTCTTTTTTTCCTTTTGAGGCTCCATTTGTTTCATCTAAAATATTTCTTACCCCGGAAAATATATTTTAGGCAAAAATATTTTGCACAAAAATATTAATGCTCTTTTCATCTGACTATGTTTGGTTGCATTTGAAAATTAAGAAGATGAAGAGTTCCAAATCCACGGAGACAAATCACGGACCTATGCTCAAAATCAAACTTCGAAATCGCAATCTGAGATGAATCACTGAACTGAAGAATAATCACCGAACTGAAGAAGAATCGAGAGAGATTTGAGTGAGAGAAAGGGAGAGCAACTAACCTCTGATTGAAGAAGACGAAGAGTTCCAAATCCACGGAGATGAATCACTGATCTATGCTCAAAATCGAACTTCGAAATCGCAATCCCGAGATGGATCGCCGAACTGAAGAAGAATCGAAGAAGAATGACTGAACCGAAGAAGAATCGAGAGAGAGAGAGAGACGAGTGAGTGAGAGATTTGAGTGAGTATGAAGGAGACGGCGGTGCTCAAAATAGGGTTTTCAAAATAAAAGTTTAGGGAGATGGAAGAGGGTGTGAAGAGAGAAGGGAAGAGGGTGGGAAGAGAGACAGGGTTTGGAGGCGCTTTTTAAACGTCTTCTATTTACAAAACGGTACCGTTTTACCTAACAACAAAGGCGACGTTTAAAAAACGCCGTTAATTATCAAAAAAGTGACATTTAATAAAACGCCGTTAATTAAACGCCGTTAAATCGTCATTTTCCTTTAGTGAATTTTGTAACTATCAATGCTTTCATGTCTGGAAAGACTTTTTTATTTATTTATTTTTTGGTTGAATTTTTTGAATAGGTCATGAGGTTGGAAGTGTGTTAACTATAGCATGAACTAATATTGCAATGTGGGGCTAAAAATCTTTTTTTCCTAAACTTATAATACACTCTTTATGTAGCATATGCTCTCGTACTGTTAAATTTGGAGTCATCTGCTCTTGCTCAAATTCAATCTATAGAGGATGAATTTGATGTTCCTCCTCCATTAAAGCATCCATTAAGACAATAATCGAGTTGGTAAGGAAAAATGAAACAGAAAAATTACATATCAAATTTAGGTAGGTTCATTAGTTTCTTCCATGCATGAAGACAATAAACGAGTTGGAAGGAAAAATAAAAGGGAAAAATTACAAATCAAATTTAAGTAGGTTCATTAGTTTCTTTCATGCACGAAGACAATAAAATAAAAAAATTACAAATCAGATTTAATTAGGTTCATTAGTTTCTTTCATGCATAAATCAAGTTGGAAAGGAAAAATAAAATGGAAAAATTACAAATCAGATTTAGTTTTTAAAAATAATTATATATTCATGAAAAAAATTATAATTTTAATAATTAAAGTTTGTAAAATTTATTATGAATCTAAATTTTTTTTTTTCAACCAATACACTGACTGATTATTTTCCCAAATAAAATAGCAAAGAAAAGTTCAGATAGAAAATATATGTATATTTTATATTAAAAATATGGGTAAATTACAAATACACCTCCTAAGGTTTACTTAAAGTGCAGATTGCTCCCCATGATTTAGAAAATTACGAATACCTCGTTAGTATTTTTTATTTAACAGAATTAATTAAAAAAATAAAATTCATAATTGGTCTCCTATACAATAATAAAATTACCAAAATTATTAATTAAACATATTTCTAACATCATTAAAAACTATTAATTAATTTAATGATTTATTAATAAAAGGGACGATTTGTTATGAAATTAAAAAGCTCAAGGAATGAAATATAATTTTCAAAATTATAAGAAGTAATTCATATTTTAAACAAATCTCAAGAGTATATTTGTAAATTGTCCTAAAAATATTAGATTAAAACTTTATGGAATGATAAGCAGTGATGAAAAAGAGCAAGGGCAGACATATCTGATAACTAAAAAGTACAATGTATTTTTTTTTCATCATTAGTTTTCACATGCATGTGATCATTGAACTAGTGTGATGAATTTTATCTATCATGCATTGTATTACCAATATATGAATGATATATTATGTGAGATAAATAAATTTAGAGATTCTCCGTAATTGTTGTTAGGTCTTAGTGAGCCCATTACTAGATTCATTTTGATAATTTGAACTATTCATCTTATAGAATTTTTATAAAAATATTATTGATGCAAAAAAAAAAAAAAAAAGAAGAAGAAGAAAAAAATGGATTTATTCGACAATCACAATCGCATGATCATATTACATTTGTTATAATTAAAAAAAATAGATGATAAATATAATTTTATAAGTATATTACACATTAAAAGCTGACTTTTTGATTTTTTTTAAAAAACTTTTTTTTGAAAAAATGTATAAAAAAATAAAGACGTGGTATAATCTAAAATAAGTTAAAAGTCAAAAATTAACTTTTTACCCACTTGCCAAAACAATGTAACTTTTCATGGTATAATAATTCCAAATCGTGATCACTGCTGGAAAAATGACTTTTAGCGGCCGCTATATGTATGAAAAACGCCGCTAATTCCTTTAGTGACGCTTACCACCAAACGTCGAGGACGCGGCCGTCGCTATAAGTTTATGACGCTTTAAAAACGTCGTAAAATTAGTATAGGCGGCGTTTATTTTTATAAACGCCGCTAAATGTCGCAACCAACGGTAACATGACGTCACACAGGCATTCAGCGACGCTTCAAAAACGTCGTAATAGCTTTTTTATTATTTTAAAAATATAACTATAGTGACGTTTTAAAAAACGCCGCAATAGATTTTTTTCCTTTTTTTTTAAACTACTAATTTTGTAAGATTTAACTTTAAAAATATACCTGTAAAATAGCAATAATGAATAAAACTTTGTATAGACATATTTCTGTGAGATTATTATTCCCTCACATCTATAATAGTACCCAATACAACATCCTTCAAGAAAAAAATCCAATAAGTTAAATCCATGCAGTAGCTGATCCATTCCTAAATAAATTAACACTCACTCTACCGTAGTTTTAAGTGTTGATTCTTGATGAATCCATGCCATTTGGAAAAGTATGAAGGAAACAGTGGTGAGGACAGTCCATGATATTGATTACCAAAAAATTATAAAGAAGATAAACATGGACATTACATTGCACATGCTCACAAAATATACAATGGTGACACAATATTTAAAATTTTAATTAAAAAAAAACCCCATTTTTTTTTATTATTCTATTTTGTGTTTTGGGGCTTCATGGCTCTTGACTGCTGCGAAGTTCCAGCATCTCATGGTTTGGGTCAACAGAGACAGCAACTCGATAGTCTCACAAGGCACCCATAACATCACCAATATGCTCGTGAAATGCTGCCCTCAAGTGTAGCAGGTTGAGGTCCGCTTTGAATAACATAGAGCACGACATCTCAACCTTTGGATATCAACAGGTAGATCATTATTTGCAAGTTTGGAATCTGATTTTACAATATGAACCACCTGCAAAAAGTGAATTGATAAATGATCCCTCAAGCTCAGACAATGTGATAATCAGATTACTCTGTCTAGGTTCAAATTGGTTTTTTCATTTATTTCAATAAATAACAATATGAACCACCATAATAACAATAGTAATCTTTTTTTTGGGTGAATAACAATAGTAATCTTCCTTTTAAGCATCTGGTAACAATGTAAATGTAAAGTATTGCCAGGTAAAATGTCCAAAATTAGTCACATGACCGATTAAGTAAATTGCATGTTTCATTTCCTTGAATTTTGACCCCTTGTTGTTTCAAATGAAAGGCAAAAACGGTTTCCCCAAGGTACATATTTAATATTTTAAGAACAAGCAACAACATTCAAGAACATTAACTCAAAAAACACGTAAACATGAGCAGTCAAATAGTGCATCAGTCAGATAGTGACAAATGTCACAAAGCAAATGGCAACAAAAGCAATCCTGAATATGGAGCCCGCTATATGGATCTGTATTCAATTTTTTTTACCCTGCCAAAGGTCTTTTCATATATTAAGTTATAGGCCAGTTATCTGCTGAAAATGCCACTCTATCTTTCTGGTTTGACTGAGTGAGGGCAATAAGCTTAATCAAGTGATCAATTAAGCTTTGGATGTAACTTGGGTATATGTCAACAGTGAAACTGAACTCAAAACCACCATTATTACATTCAAAAACAAAAATTGCAGCCTTATTTATTTTGTTGGTGCAATGCACACATAACTGTTAGAAGTTCCAGAAATACAAACATATAATAGATTACCTTAACAGCTGATAGCATTAAAGAACCTTTTGCAAGCTCAGCTGCTATACATGAAGCCAAAGTGCAGCCAGTTCCATGAGTATTCCGAGTTCTTATGCGTGGTGAACGCAGCTCATATAAATTATCTCCTAGAAGATTAAATCAAGAAATCAAATTAGCAAAAGACACCGCCTAGAGATACACACAGTTACAACTCAAAAACCCCAATGAATACATTAAGCATACCATCAAAGAAAATATCAACAGCATCCAATGAAGAAGCGAGGTCACCTCCTTTGACAAGCTCCAGCATTACTCAACTAAAAATGTGATAAGCCATGTTACCAGATGGCTCCAAAATCATATCATAAAAGTCTAACCCTTATTGAACAAGGATCTCGATTGAACAGTATGAAAAGTTTGACAAATATATTCGTTCATTCCGAAGACTTCAAAAAACAAAAGAAAAGAAAAAAACACATAAAACCATTCAACATGTCCACTATGCAGAGCTTAATAAGATTTTCCCACAAATGAAGAGTCACAAATAGAACTAAAGAAGGAAGTTACTGAGGTTTTTTAACCTGCTGTGTTTACTTCTGCCCAGTGGAGGTCCCCAAGTTTGTCTCCTGAAGGTTCAACAACAGTTCATCTGAAGTCAAGAAAACCTTGTTGGTTGAATTTGAGATTGTATGTGCAATTTCTCTAGCAGCTTCAATCTTCCTTGGGGTAATAAATGCCGGATTATTGGTAATAGCTTGACCTATCAGCTGGGCACTCTTGGCCTCACCCTGGAACCCATTGGAAGCAAAAGCAGATGTGTTAATTGAGTCAGAATGCTCACAAAATAGAAGGAAGAGATTGTCAAAGAAAACAAAAACAGAAAGAAAGCATCTTTTCATTGTTAGACTACTAAAGAAAGCACCACTATGCCAACTAATTTTGGTTTGCAAAAAACCAAATGAGTTGTTGCTCGGTCCTACAAAGCATACCAGTCATCCCATAAACAGATGCATCTGCTCTGTTTGAATTCTTGACCTAAACACAAATTAGCAGATAAAAAGTTAAAAGCTATATAAAGCCCTCTTTGGTCTATAAAATAATGATTATTTCAAGTGGTTCTATTTTGATACTAAATAAATATAGATACCACTGCAACAGACCTCCTGAAATATTTGAAAGCACCAGGTTTAAGATTAAATTAAAATTATTTTGATCACTTATTAAATACATGGGTTGTTCCTTGCGTGCTCCAGATTAGTTCAAACTTCCTGTGAACCTCTGTCAACCAGTCTATGAGAATTGATCTCATCTTTGAATTGATTTCAGGCTGTGAATCCATGTAATTGTGAACTTGACTCTCACCCTACCGTAATAAATTCCCATTAATGAGCAAAACATGTCGATAGATATAGAAGGTAAAAGGATAGAAAAATAAAGGCCAAAATAGAACCTCTGTTAACTTGTAGAACTTGTAGATGTCCTCAACATACTTCACAATTGCCAATTCATTATCAACATCTGCTGCATCAATGTCTTCTAAGTAACAAGGAATAATATACATATACATATACAAATAGAAAATTTATGCATCAATGTCTACAAATTTCACTACACATCAATTAAGATAACAACTTACTTCACTACTTAATAACAGTAATATATATCAACATGGCTTGAAAATTTATGTAACATTCTTTGTAAAAATCAAACACTTAGAGAACCTGTACTGTATGAAACCACAACCATTTAGAAATACTTTCGTGAAGAAGCCTCTAGACTTGAGAAGGACTTTCGCAACTGTAGGTGCATGAATTCGGGGGTCTGGATTGGGCTGCAATAAGAAAAATGTTCAGAATTTTGAGAATGTAAAGATACTACGCAAACAGTAAAAGAGAACTTACGGCGCTCCATCTTTTGTCAAGAAATTCATTAATGACTAAAGCATTTTGTCCATACATCACTGGAGAAATATAATAGCCCCATATCATAAATGGCTCAATGTCATCTGCGGGCACAAAAGGAAATGAATGGTTATAGATGTAGTGCTTTGATCATCGAATATATAAACAACTACATGAAAGAATCCACAACTTACTTGGCTAAATGTCAAGCAATATTCAACAATGTGGTATAAACATTGGTAAATTAAAAGCTCATTCTAATTCAAGATAGGGTCAAAAGTGAAAATAGAAATCAGGCAGCTTACTTTGGGCAACTATAAATCCTCCAAGTAGAATATTCATTATCAATGTGCAGGTTCCTAAAGTGCATACAACAACCAGCTTTCTTCCCACAGCAACAAAGCGAAAGAGAGTGAGAGACGTTTGATGTATACTGAACAATGCCAATAACTGCTGGAAAAACCTGAATCAGATGGTGGGTATTTGTCAGTGAATAAATTATCAGGTTCAAGTGACCACTAAATGCAGAGTAGGAAGAATAAATTTCTAATGAAGAATTTAAGTTGGTAAGTAAAAGTATAAACATGAAAAACTACCACGAGAAACCAAGAACACACAGACCACTACTACCTGTTGGTGTTTGGAGCAAACCCAATTGTGTAATATGTAAGACTGATCCATATTGCTGATTCCACTAAGGAGAGGGGTATACTGAGGACCCAAATTGGCAACCCAAAAGCCTATGGAGGATAGAATAAGAAATCCCCCTGTTTATAGAATACAGGAAGCCTCAAAACAGTCAATGCAACCTCTGTCAACCTGTTAAACAATACATTCATGAGAGTAAAGAAAAGAGCTCCGAAATTTTTTCAATCAACTCTATAAAATGAAAACAGAAGGTCCTAAATTACAAAGGTTAGTAACTCACAAGTATTCCTCCAAGATCCTCGGAAGAATATGCGTGGACAAGTTTCCCTCTCTCTCTTTTCTTATACCTGGTGATTATTAAAGAAGGAAACAAAAATAAACAAGTAAATAAATTTCAAAAAAAATAAATAAATTTCAATCTCTTTAGGATGTTGTCAAACTGTGATGTATCAAACGCCCAATTATTTTTGGGTTCATCTACACCAATACCTATTGTAATTTTTAAACTGTCAAACTGCTCTATATGTCTTGAACTGTTCTTATTCTTCTAATAAATGAAAAACTCATCCCACAACAAGTTTAACCTTATTAGCTCCTTTGATTCATAGCACAATTAAAAAAATAAAAGTAAAAGAACTCTCTGTTCTAGGCAACAAAATAGAGGATGAATTTGATAAATAAACAAAAATCAGAGCAAAAAAAGAACCTGCAGTGTCCTGTTTGTCCTTAACCCTGACATATTCTTTGATCCCTTGCTTCTCTTTCCCAAGCCCTTCGCCTTCTTCCCACCCCTACAACACAATTCCATCTCCACACCATCAAAATTCATCGAACACACACATTACACATACATACAGATTCAAACCTGAGCTGAAGCAACTATCTGAGCCAAAAGTAAATGGTGACCAAGCCTGACATGCAATAGAGTATAGTAAGGTCTATCACAAATGACATAAAAGCTACAAGTAATGGTGAGTAGTATAGCTCAGATTATTGTAACACAACCAAAATGTGATACCTCTTCAACCATAACTAATTCAGGAGCATTACTAGCTGAAGGTAATTTTGATAATTCCACTTTGGATGTATACACGCGAGGCTAACGCTACATTAAATGGACAAACACCAAAAAATAATGGTGTCAAAACATTTGAGCATGTAAACATGAAAAAAATCTGCAGAGAAACAAAGAAGGGTTATCATCAAATACCTTATCTAGCTCATTTAGAAGCTGATAACTTGACATTATCAGTTCTAATGAATTCTCTTCCTTCAAGATCTGGAAAATTGCCTCAAACATTTTACTGTTTGACCAATTTGCATAATCAGATACTCAAGAAAGATCACAAACAAAAAAAATAACAAACTAGGCCAGTTAAACTTGCATTTCTTATGTGGAGCTTCTACTTCTCCTATCCAAGGATTTTCCAAATCTTTCATATCATATTGTAAGTTGTTATCTTTATGCTCATTATTTTTCTGCCCTCCTGGAGAATTTATTTCAACAATTTCACTCCTTCCCAGTCCAAGAGAGTCAGGGGCTTGACTTACACCAGCTCTTTCTTTAGGAACCCTTTTGCTGGTATCACCATATCCTAGTGCAATCATACTGTTACCACTGGTAAGCTCTGCATTTGTACGCATCAGAGATGTACCATCCTGAGAATCAGGTAAAACGAGTGGCATATTAACCCCAGCCCTTGCATCTTTCCTAAATTCACATCTAATTTCAATTGTCACAGGGGACCCAAGAACAGACTCAAATGCTAGTAATATGTGCGCCTTATACTTCTCCGCCTTGGATTTTGTCAGGTGTGAACTAAACATCAACTGAGCAATTGGGGCTGCAAGACAGATAAACTAATTAGAAGGACTAGCAGATGCCCCACAAAATATGGGGGAAAAAAGTGGTACATCTGTAAATTGGCCCATCAAAGATATACTATCAATGTGACTACCCAAGAAAATCATAATCTCAGTAAATAACCAATGTGGAAAATTTTTGTTGTTTTGACAAGTGAACAAACAATTGGGAAAACATTGTATCAACATGTTCCACTATAATTAATGAAGTATACATGAGGTGTATCTCCACACATGTACATAAATAGTATCTAATCCCAGAAGTGTTAGAGAATACAGAAACATGTGGTCCAAACAAGAAGCAGGAGCAACCAAGGAAACAGTAAATATGACAATTCATACTAATTATTACATCCAATTTCCTAAAATGAATTCAGTATGATATTCTGAACAGCATAAAATATCCTTTTAAAATGTTTTCCATAATGTCTCTGAAGAATAGTTTGGCCATATTGCAAGCTACAAACTCCCAAAATAAACAAATAAATTTTCACTAGCATGTCAAAGTAGGATACAAAAGATAAGCTATAGAAAGTCTACTTTACAGTCATACCTGATACAAGGCTTCTTTTTCTTTTGAGGTTTGTATAAATTGGGAAACCAACTGAATGAGAAACTATGTTGACAGAATGGCACAAGAATATATTGCACAAAATGGTAAATTTTAATCGCGTACTAGAATGTGCCCTCAGGGCAAGAATGCCCCCCTGTTTCAAGAATTCACAGAAGGTTTCGATTAATTAATGATTAACCCAGTGTTATCAAAAGCACACCAAAGTGCACACCTAGGCAGGAGGTGCTCCTGAGGCTCCTCAACAGACCCAAGACAAGGTGACTTTAATAAGCGCAATCAAGATGCTCGAGACGCACAAGACGCATAGAGGTGTACTTCTCTTTCGATACTGATCTAATTAAGCCCGTTATGATTTTATATGTTGGGACATCCTATCAAAGCCCCTCAATTAAATAGAGAACCTCAACCCTAGTCAACAGATTGAAGATACAACTAACCTCTGATCAACTAACCTCTGATCGAAGAAGACGAAGAGTTCCAAATCCACGGAGATGAATCACGAATCTATGCTCAAAATCAAACTTCCAAATTTAAATCCCGAGATGAATCACCGAACTGAAGAAGAATCGAAGAAAAATCACTGAACTGAGGAAGAATCGAAAGAGATTTGAGTGAGAGAAAGAGAGAGCAACTAACCTCTGATCGAAGAAGATGAAGAGTTCCAAATCCATGGAGATGAATCACGGATCTATGCTCAAAATCGAACTTCGAAATCGCAATCCCGAGATGAATCACCAAACTGAAGAAGAATCAAAGAAGAATCACTGAACTAAGGAAGAATCTAGAGAGATTTGTGAGAGAGAGAGAGAGAGAGAGAAAGAGATTTGAGTGAGTGAGAAGGAGACGACAATGCTCAAAATAGGGTTTTCAAAATAAAAGTTTAGAGAGACAGAAGAGGGTGTGAAGAGAGACATGGAAGAGGGTGTGTAGAGAGATAGGATTTGGAGGCGTTTTATAAACGTCTTCTATTTTCAAAACGGTACCGTTTTACCTAACAACAAAGGCGACGTTTAAAAAATGCCGTTAATTGTAAAAAAAGTGACGTTTAATTAAACGTCGTTAATTAAACGCCGTTAAATCCTCATTTTCTTGTAGTGGATCCCAATGATGATTTGGTCTATGAATGATAAAAATCTCACACCAATTGAACCTAACACATTTGTTTGCATTAGCCATGCCCATGGTAGGAAAAAAAAATTGAATTGTTAGAGTTTTACAAGTTCTAGAAATTATATAGGTGTAATCCAATGTTCACTTGTAGCAAAGTTAATAGTAAAGTATGAAATATTTCTGTAAAAAATGCTTCAGGAATCACACTACCACCATGTTGGAATTTAGTTTCTTTCATCTACATCCTCCCATCATCTTTTCCATTTTTACTACATTCCTTCACTTCCCTTTTGAAGCTCTTCAAACCCAAGTTATCAGCAATTAGTCCAGCACTTCCTTTAAACATATTATGAATCACAAGTGCGCACACAACAGTAGCATACTATATTTGTATCTATCTATGAATATATCACTACAAGAAATCAGAGATTTCACGACGTTTAATTAACGACGTTTTTATGAAACGTCACTTTTTCTAACAATTAACTGCGTTTTTTAAACGTCGCATTTGTTATTAATCAAAACGGTCTCCTTTTATGGATAGAAGACGCTTGGAAATGCCTCCAAATCCTGTCTCTCCAAATCTTTATTTTTTATTTTGAAAACCCACCGCCGTCTACAATATGAAGTTCGAATCTATCACTCACTCAAATCTCTCACTCTCTTGCTCCCTCTCGATTCTTGTTTAGAGCGATTGCAATTTTGAAGTTTCTTAGAACCAACCTATCTGCATCCGTATGGCTTCAATCTCGTAGTTTCTCAGAGCGTTTGCGATTTCGAAGTTCGATTTTGAGCACCGTCGTCTACAATCTCAGAAAAACCAATCGAATCCTTAAATCTGCTTCAGCTCCGTGATTTATCTTTGTGGATTTGGAACTCTTCATTTTTCTCGATCAAAGGTTAGTGCTTTCGATCATCCTATCTCTCTAAAAAACCTATTTTGTCTCTCCAAACCTTTATTTTGAAAACCCACCGTCATCTACAATATGAAGTTCGAATCTATCACTCACTCAAATCTCTCACTCTCTTGCTCTCTCTTTCTCTCTGGTCCATGAGTATAAGATGAAGGTATGTTCTATGGAATCGTTGTCGGTTGCTGGGGGTTTTGGATCGAATCAATATGAAGTTCTCTCTCTCGATTCTTCTTCAGCTCGGTGATTCATCTCAGAGCGATTGCGATTTTGAAGTTCGATTTTGAGCACCATCGTTTACAA